GAACAACATAAAAAAAAGTTTTTTTTTTTTTCTGCTACCCTATACTACAGACGTTGTGAGACCTGTCAGCCCCAGCTGACAGACATGTGATATGTGGCCTCCTGCCTGCTGGCTGCCCTTGGAGCAACTTCTCTCCCAGGACAGACATCAAGAAGATTCTAGACAGCTTGGGCATCAAGGCAACTGATGGCCAGCAGCAAAGTTAATAGTGAACAGAACGGAAGAAACATTGAAGGAGGGTGTGGGCAAGCTCGCCTGTGTGCCTGCTCGTAGGGCTGCTGCTGCTGCTGCTGCCCCTGGCTCTGTAGCTCCTGAGACTGGCTCCCACCCCCATTCCCTCATGCTCTACCACCACCCACGCAGGGTAGAAAGACAAAAAGGAGTCTGAAGAGTCAGATGATGGCACAGAATTTGGCTTTTTGATTAAATTTCTGTTCCCCTACAAATAAAGTCTTTTATGTAAAAAATAAAAAAATGCAAATTGAATTTTTTGTGGGTAGTCACAAACATGGAGAGAGGAAGTGCAAGGAAGTGAGAGGCTCCTACACATTCCCAGCTGTACATAGGTTTTTTTTGTTTTGTTTTGTTTTGTATTCCGAGACAGGGTTTCTCTGTAGCTTTGGAGCCTGTCCTGGAACTAGCTCTTGTAGACCAGGCTGGCCTCAAACTCACAGAGATCTGCCTGCCTCTGCCTCCAGAGTGCCAGGATTTAAGGTGTGCGCCACCACCACCTGGCTCTGTACATAGTCCTTTACTGTGAATCTTTAAGCCTCTGGTACTTTGTATCTTGGTCAAGAATGGAGTCTTTAGCTGAGTGGTAGTGATTCATGCCTTTAATCCCAGCTCTTGGGAAGCAGAGGCAGGGAGATCTGAGTTTGAGATCCAGTTACAGAAAAACTCTGTCTAAAAAAAACACACACACACACAAAACAACCACACTACAAGCCACAGCTCCAGAGAGTTGGGAGTGTGAGGGTTATGGGGGAAGGTGGAAGGGAAGTGGGAAAAATACATAAATACAAATACAAAATAAAAAACAAAAACAAAACAAGAAAAAAAGAATGGAGTCTTTGGAGAAAATTATATCCTTATAAACAGGTGTTGAAGAATGCTCTTTGTAGGTGAAGAACCTAGGCAGATGAGGTGGCTGAACTCCCTTCTGAAATAGCCGCTACAACTTTGCCCGCATGGGCTCTGCACAGGGACAGTTTCCAGCTTCTGAAGGGAGATGGGAAAATAGCCTGACTTGGACTGGAAAATTCAACCGTGCTAACCTGTCGATGCTACCCAGAGTGATCTATAGAGCCAACGCAGTCCCACGAAGCTCTAACACTCTTTTATGAATAGTCAAAGTCCAACTGCCCAATGGGTTTCTCAGTGTCAGGAAAGCTATGCTTACCAAGAAGCCCAGAAATAACTTCTAGGTGTGGGGCTGTGCTAGTTAGTTTACTATTAACCTGACACAGGATTTTAGCCTGTATCATTATGGAAGAAGGAACCTCTTAATTGAAAAAATATCTCCACCAGATTGGCCTATAGGGCATTTTCTTGATTAATTATGGATATGGGACGGCCCAGGCAGTGCCATTCCTGAGCAGGTGGTCCTATGTTGTACAAGAAAGCAAACTGAGCAAGCCATGGAGAATAAACCAGTGAGGAATGTTCATCTATGGTCTCTGCTTCAGTTTCTGCCTTACCTTCAATATCTATACAATAAACTAAATCCTTTCTCCACAGTTTACTTTTGGTCATGGTGGTTTTCTCTTTGTTTTTGTTTGTTTTTTTGTTTTTCTGTGTAACTGCCCTGGCTGTCCTGGAACTCACTGTAGACCAGGCTTGCCTAGAACTCTGCCTCCTGAATACTGACATTAAAGGAGTGTGCCACCACCGCCTGCTAGTCATGGTGTTTTATTACAGCTGTGGGTTCAAACACGTGCTCAGTGGCTGGTGCTAAGAGTCACGACTGGGAATGAACCAAACTCTTCCTTTGGTATAAACAGGATGCTGAAGCTCCCTTCCTGAGGACACTGGGTGATGCTGTCCTGTGCTGCTTCCCTGGTGTTGCAATAGCAGGCTCAGTTTTATTTACTTATTTTTTAATTTTTTTAAAATATTTATTTATTTACTTATTATGTATACAATATTCTGTTTGTGTGTATGCCTGCAGGCCAGAAGAGGGCACCAGACCTCATTATAGATGGTTGTGAGCCACCATGTGGTTGCTGGGAATTGAACTCAGGACCTTTGGAAGAGCAGGCAATGCTCTTAACCACTGAGCCATCTCTCCAGCCCCCTTTTTAATTTTTTTTTGATGTTGTTTTTCAAGACAGGGTTTCTCTGTGCAGTCCTGGAACTTGCTCTGTAGACCATGCTGGTCTCGAACTCAGAGATTCACCTGCCTCTGCCGCCTGAGTGCTTGGATAAAAGGTGTTGGACACCACTATTTGGCTGGGTCAAATCTTTGTTTGTTTTTGTTTTTGTTTTTTCGAGACAGGGTTTCTCTGTGGCTTTGGAGCCTGTCCTGGAACTAGCTCTGTAGACCAGGCTGGTCTCGAACTCACAGAGATCCGCCTGCCTCTGCCTCCCAAGTGCTGAGATTAAAGGCGTGCGCCACCACCGCCCGGCCTCAAATCTTAAAAGTATTTACTTGAGTGTCCTTTCTTGCCTACTTCTGGTAGTGAGGGCTGAGGCTATAGCACAAAGAAAGCTTTCTTATGTAGGCCTGGGAAAGCAGGATTCCTCAGCGCTCAACATTAGCCAATGCTATATTGTGGGGTACCATATCCTTGGCCGTAAACACTTGACACTTTTCTCTGACTCTTTATTAGATCTCAGACAAGGAATTTGAGTACCTAGGCTGCCTTTAATCTGCAACAAACTCTAACCAAGGAATCTTGGTTAAGTTCTAATTCTAATCTAACTGAGGAATCTTGGCTTCCTAGGCCCATATAAGAGCTTTATCACCTGTAGGGCCAAGGACTCCAATACCTGAGAAGGAATACAACTCACTTGTGCCATTTTCTGCTGCTTCTGCCTGTGCACTATGGCCCGTGCACTGCTACTAAAAAATCAGATCTCGTGACTTCTGTTTTTGTTTTTTTTTCTAAGATTTTTCTTATTTATTATGTATACAGTGTTCTGCCTGTATGTATGCCTGTAGGCCAGAAGAGGGCGCCAGATCACATTACAGATGGTTGTGAACCACATTGTGGTTGCTGGGAATTGAACCTCAGAAATCAGGATTTAGCAGTAACCAGCTCTTAAACGCTGAGCCATCTCTCCAGTCCTACTCACTTACTTCTATTCCAGTAAGGCAGAGGACTCCAGAACCATCTCGCCCATAGAGCACTGGCACCATCTGCCATACACAGCAAGGGTAAAATCATAAAGTATTTTAAAATCTATTATTGTCCAGCAAAAACTTTGAGTCTATAATCTGTACTCTGTTAAAAAACAGAAATAAGAGTGGAGTTAAAGGCTATGAGCACGAAGCTGGCATTACATATCTATAATCCCAGTACTTGGTGTATGGAGGCAAAAGAACAATTCAATACCAGCCTATATGGTGAGGTTTAGGCAGGCATGAGCTACTGTCTCAAACAAAAACCAACAAAAAACATAAGTTGAAATGAACCACTCCCCTTTTTGAGACTCCCCTTTGCATCCAGCTATGTAGCCCACACTGCCCTCAAAATCTTTATGTAGTCCACATTGACCTCCAATTGGTCACAGCCTTCCCAGTTCTGGGATTACAGGTGTGTACCTCCAAATCTGGCTGAACATTTTTACACTGGGAGAATTTTATGATCGGCGGAGTGCGATAGTTTAGTTAGTGGTACTTTGCCTGTTTATAGCAGGCTCTGGAGCCAGGACTATCCAGGGAACTCCCACCCAGCAACAGCTTCATGTCAGAAAGCAGGAGGGGACACCCAAGTCACAGGTTGCTGCTATACAATAGGGCTCACTAACTCCTCTTCCGCAAGACGGCTGCAAAACAAGTGTTCAAAAATGTTGATCTTAGCAGGGCGTTGGTGGTGCATGTCTTTAATCCCAGCTCTCGGGAGGCAGAAGCAGTGACAGAGGCAGGCGGATCTCTGTGAGTTCGAGGCCAGCCTGGTCTACAAGAGCTAGTTCCAGGACAGGCTCTAAAGCTATAGAGAAACCCTGTCTCGAATAACAATCAAACAACAACAACAACAACAAGAAGTAGATATTGCTATTCACATTTTGTGCAGTAATAAATTTCACTAACCCAACTATTGTTTAGTGCTTGTTTTGGCTCCAAAGCCTGTGGGCCTCAAAGTCGCGACGCTTCGCCTCGGGCCTGTCAAACGCTGCAATGACCAGAGTGCCCACACGCCCTGAGTTTACTAGAGTCTTAACCAGGCTCTGGAAGCTTCTCACCTCTAATTAATGACAGTGGAAGCGCGCTGAGCAACAGGCTGACTCTGGCCAGCTGGAAGCTCCGCATTGGCGCGAAGCCCGAGAGGGACGGAAAGGCAACTCTGTGACATCACGGCACGCCCACAGCCCGTCGCTCAGGCAGGCCGCTCCTCCGGGGCCGGGCTACGCGCTGACGCCACACGCCGGGGCGGGGCTGAGAGTTTGGAGCCCGGAGTGGGGTGTCGGCGCCTCACTCGGGTGGAGCAGAACGGCAGACAGGTAACCTTGCACGGCGGACGGGCTCGGTCCAGGGCTGGGCGGCTCGGCGCTTGCCAGCCGGAGCCGGCGGCCGAGGGGGAGGCCTACACGCCCTTGCAGCCGGGCCACCCGAGTGACGGGCGTGAAGCCGGACCGAGCCGGGCTGACGGAGGGCGGCGATGGTGGGCGGGGGACGAGCCTGACGGACAGGCGTCGGAGCCAATGGAACGGCAGGGTCCGCCTGGCGGGCGGAGATTGGCGGACGCGGACGCGCGCCGGGGGTCGCCGGCCCGAGCGCGATTGGCTCTGGCGGCGGAGCCTCGGAGGCGGCGGGCTTGGGTGTCGGTGGCTCGGCGGCTCGGGAGAACCCCAAGGTCGCGGCGCGTCACGTGGCCCGGTCGCTTCCTCCGGCCCGCGCGCGTTCTTTTGTCCTGCGTGCGCTGGCCCCAGCAGGCCGCCGTCCTTGTGTTCGCCGCGCCCGGTCAAGGCGCTGACCTTGGTGCCTACGGCAGCCCCACCTGCCGGTGTGAGGTGAAACCGGCAGCGGGCCAAGGTGACACTCGTTTCCCTAGAAACCCCGTCCACGCACCGCTTTCCTCGCGAGAGTGTGTGTGACAGACGCGAGTTATTCCGCCGAGTGACTGGGAAGCCTGCGACCGTGCCCTCGCAGGAGTTACCAGATCGTGTGCCTTTTACCCACGCGCAGTGCGCCAGTAGCCGAGATGACAAGCTCGGGAAGAGTAGTCACGTGGCGGACACGAGTGTGCAGACCGGAGGCCCGAGGGTAGCGCGTAGGGGTAGCTGCAGGGTGAGGCTGGAGAAAGGGAATTAAAGGGAAATGAGAAGCGCAGCGCTAGGTGATATGCGCATGCGTAGCCCCACTTCCTGACTCGCTCTGCGGGATCAGAAAATGGCGGCGTTACCATTGGAGGGTGGAGTTTTAGACCCTTGACGTCAAAAGGTCACTCAAGGAACACCTCTACAGGCCCAAGTGGGGTCAGTGGTGTCAGCCAGTTTTCGATCGAGGCCTCGAAGGGCGTGTAAACACTTTAGATACGGTGATCGTCAGTCAGAGGTGTTATCTGTAAATAGTGACGCCAATTCAGCTGTGCAACTCAGCTTCTTGACCTCTCTGTAGAAGCAAGTAACTAAAAACAAATGTTTTTTTCCCTGTGGATTTCATTACCCTACGGACCCGACTTGCGTCTGTGCATCCTGTGCTGTGACATTGAGCAGAGGGCACTGTTAGAGTTTTCTAGTTTGCCCGGTCTTGTGGTCCTGCCCTTGACGTGGCCCCGGGTAGATTACTTAGTAGCTGACGTTAGGATGAGTGACACCGTCATTGTCTTTTTCTCTTTTCTATTCTTGTCCCTTTGCCTCACATATTAGGCAGTTTTCTTTCTTTCTGTTTAAAAAGTTAGGTTATTTGTGTGTAGGGGAACATGTACATGTGACAGCGCTTGTGTAGATGTCTTAGGACAACTTGTGAGAGTTGGGTTTCTGCTCACCATGTGGATCCTGGGGATTGAACTTAGGTGGTCATGTTTGGTGGCCCTGATCCATCTTTTCCCTTGGTATGTACACATTTAGGTTTGCTTATCTTTCGGGTAGATTGACCTTTGCATTATTTATGTTCCTCTCAGTCTCTGGTAATTGCCTTTTCATTGCTCTCTGGTTTATTAGATAATAGGGCCATTCTTGGAAATACTTGGGTTTTTCTTTTTGGTTTTTCAAGATACAATTTCTCTTTAGACCTGACTGTCCTCAGACTCACAGAGATCCACCTACCTCTGCCTCTCAAGTGTTGTGATTAAAGGTGTGTGCCGCCACCACTTGTTATGAAATGTGTTTTCGATCTTACGTTCATTATTACTATCTTGTCAACAAACATATACTCTTATTTTTATCCTCCTGCCTATTGGGCTTTTTCTGATGTCAGGATTTATAGTGGCATGTTAAATGTTAAGTCTTCCATTTTGCTTATTCTAGTTTCATTTCTCCTCTTTCTCTGTGCTGACTTCCTTTGGGTTACTTTAGTGCATACAGCCAAGGCTTGCCTTGGACCCAAGGTTATCCTCTTGCTTCAGCCTTCTGCATGCTAGGGTTTGCAGGCATGCCACACCATTCCTGGCACTGCGTGTGCATGTGCGTGTGCAGGTCAGAGGACAACTTCAGAGAGTCACTTTTCTTTTCCCACTGTGCGGATCCTGGGGATCCAATTTGGGTTGTCATACTTGGCAGCAAGTGCCTCAACCAAAGTGATGAGTTTTCTTGGCAGCTCTTGTTGGACGATTTCAGATCAACAGTTCTGTTCCTTTAGTATTTAGAAACTGTCCGTTTTTAAGTTTTTCTAATCCTTGAGACAAGATCTTCCCTGGAGCTAGACTGCCAGTTAGCAAGCCCCAGCAGTCCTCCTGCCTCCCCCAGCACTGGATTTACAGATGCACATGAGTGACCACGCCTGTCTTTGCAAGTAGCTTCTAGGAATTTGAACTCTAATCTTCATGCTTATATAACACTCTGACCCACTTAAGCGGTCGTCCCAAACCTTTTCTTAATTTCATTTTCTTGGTCATAATGCGTCATTGTAGTTTTTCACAAGGTTTTTATAAGTTTATGATATGCCTGTAGTGTTTAGCTTTAGGGTCTGTTTATCTTCTTGAATATGTGTAGTTAAGCCTTTTACCAAATCAGGAAATTTTGTTGTTGCTGTTTCTGGTTTTTGTTTTTTCAAGACATGGTTTCTCTGTGTAGCTTTAGAGTCTGTCCTGGAACTTGCTTTGTGGACCAGCTTGGCCTCGAACTCACAGAGATCCACCTGTCTCTGCCTCCTGAGTGCCTTGATTAAAGGCAGACGCCACCACTGCACAGCTGTTGCTTTGTTTTTTAAGACAGGATTTCTCTCTGTAGCCCTGGCTGTCCACTCATTTTGTAGACCAGGCTGGCCTTGATCTCAGATTATTTGCCTGCCTCTGCCTCCTGAGTGCTGGGATTAAAGTTGCGCATTACAGCACCTGGCCCTATCCAGATATGGTAGTCTTAACAGCTGTGATATATTGGTATTAGTGTAAGTTGAGAAGGTATGAGAATTGATCTCATCTTTTTACTTATTTTTGAGTCAGGGTCTCACTATACATCTCTGGCTGGCCCAGATCTCTCTCATTCATTCATTCATTCATTCATTTTTGAGGCAGGAACTCATAGAGATCTTCTTGTCTCTGCCTTCCAGTGCTAGGATAAAAGGTATGCACCACCATGTCTGGCTCTTAAATATTTAAGCAGAGTAGAGCAGGCATTTTCTGACTGCTAAATAGCAGAGAATGCTACCTCAAGTCTAAGAACTTTGTTACCACTGTAGTTGTGGTCCCCACCCAGTATGAGGAATGTGCCCTCATTACTGCTGGAATCAGGCCCCAGCTGATTGTCGCTGGAGTAAAGGTAGAGATAAACTCCCCCATTTGTGTTTTGACGTCACTGAAGATGGAGCTATGGTACCTTCTCTGATGTTTGTATTAGGAAAATTGTTTAGATGTTTCATTTTGCAGCACCTGTCACTATCCTTTGACTTAAGAGCATAGGCTTTGTGCCTTCTCTTGTCTACACCTGTTAGCATTTTTTTTTCTTTTTGGTTTTTGGACACATGGTTTCTATGTGTAGTTCTGGCTGTCCTGGATCTAAATCTGTAGACCAGGCTGGCCTCAAACTCACGGACATCCTCCTGCTTCTGTCTCCCAAGTGCTGGATTAAAGGCACTTCACACCACCGCACGGCTGCCTGTTGGCCTTTCTTAGAGTTCCTCTGTTCATTAATCTGGAACATGAGGCGCAAGGATGGTGCTCTGTCAGTGCTCTGTCCAAGATTCAAGGTTCAAGTCAGTTTGCTTGCTTTCTCCACCTTTTGGAGACTTTTGTTTTAAATTTAACATTTATGTTTGGGGCTGAGTTTAGCAAGAAACAGGAATTCTGTATATACTTTAATAAAATGTTGGCAGATTATCATGCTTTCTATAAAGATTTCAGAATTTTCACTCTTTCAGAACGTATCATTGCCTTTAATCCCAGCACTTGAGAGGCAGAGACTGACAAATCTTTGAGTTAGTTCCAGGCCAGCCTGGTCTACAAAGTGAGTTCTAGGACAGCCAGGACTGTAACAAAGAGAAACCCTGTCTCAAAAAACAAAAAATCAAGGGACTGGAGAGGTGGCTCAGTGGTTAAGAATGCTGACTTCTCTTCCAGTCAGTTCCAGTGGGTTCAATTCCCAGCACCTGCATGGCAGCTCAGAACTGTCAGTAATTCCATATCTGACACCCTCATGCATATAAACAGGCCAAAACACCAATGCACATCAAATAAATAAATTTAAATTCTCTTTGAAATAGGGTCTACCTAAATAAGTAACTCCGGCTGGAAATCTAGAGGCCTCTAGAGGCTTCCCTCAGCCTCCAGAGTGCTGGGATTACAGGTGTGTGTCATGTCATAATGCAACTTCTTAAAGTGCCTCTTCCCTTCTGCCTTCACTAGTCTGCTTGCTTTAGAGCCCTGCAGGCCTGGGCATCTCTGATGCTGCAGAGCCACAGCTAGGGAAAGAGCACAGCTGTCTTCAGACTCAGGTATAGAGACTTGCTCCTTCAGTGGTCTGACTTTGGAAGTACTGGATGAAAGCCTGCATGCAGTTAGACGGGCTAAGTAGGCCGTGTACTAGAAAATGGAGATACTCCACTAATGTTTCACGAGTTAGAGTAATTGCCATACCAAGGTGACTGATGTTTACTTATCTTGGGAACTTGAATTTCTCAAACATCTCTGTTAGCTTCTTATAAGTTATAATTGTACGTTGGCCTACTTGTAAGTTATAATTCTTTAGTCATAGAATATTTACAAACAAAATATTACAAACAAATGAGAGCGACAAGAGTAATTACTGTCTCTACTGTTTGGTTCAAAGATACTGAGCAGGTCAGGTCTAGTATGTAATGCTTACACAGCATGTGGGTGTCATTGATACTTGGGCCACTATCAGTAAAGTTCTTACTGCACAAGGACCTGGGTATGGTAGTACATGCTTGTAATCCTAGGGCTGGGGAGACAGAGGCGAGTGGATCCCTAGGGCTCCCTGGCCAGCAAGCCTAGTTTATGTGATAAGTTCTAGGCGAGTGAGCTACCTTGTCTCCAAAAAGGAAGGCAACACTTGAGAAATGACACCAGAGATTGACCTTGGGCCTCCCTATAAGTACACATATTTATGAGTAGTATGTTGCATCTAGTATATAAGTATATATATCATACATATATCTGTATGTATTTAATATTTAGATGCTCTTGCCTTAGCTTCCAGACTGCTGAGAATACAGGTGTATGTCATTATGAAACACCTTTTTAAAAAAATTATTTGTGTTTTATGTACTTTGGTGTTTTGCCTGCATGTATGTCTGTTGTGAGGGTGTCAGATCCCCTGGAACAGGAGTTACAGAAAGTTGTGAGCTGCCAAGTGGGTTCTAAGAATTGAACCTGGCCCTCAGGAAGAGCAGCCAGTGCTCTTAACTTCAGAGCTAACTCCCCAGTTCCTATGCAACACTTCTACTTCCCCAGAATACTAAGAGCACAGAGAATACGCAATGATTTCTGGATACAGTAGAAAATGTCATTTTGCAATTATTGTCAGTCCTTAACCAATCCTTGTTGTCTTTTTTTTGCAGTCATTTTAGACAGTATATAATAGATGTAAAGAGGGGGCTGGAGCGATGGGTCAGTGGTTTAGAGCATTGGCTGCTCTTCCAGAGTCCTGAGTTCAATTCCTAGCAACCACACAGTGACTCACAACCATCTGTAATGAGATCTGGTGCCCTCTTTTGGCGTGCGAGCATTTATGCAGGCAGAATGTTGTATACATAACTAAATAAATAAATCTTTTTTTTTTTTTTTAAATCTTAGTCCTACAGCTAGTTGCCTGGATTCTCAGAGGAGCTGATTGGGAACTTCCTTTAAAATAAATAAATAAATAAATAAATAAATAAATGTAAAGATCCCAAGTCAGATGGGATCAAGTCTGCAACTCTGTGCCTACTTCTCTGGGGCTAATCCAGGCATTGCAGAGATGTGAGTATGTCAGTTTGACAGTCATGCTCTGTCTTGCTCTCATGTGGACTGGGCATTGAGTAAGTCATTGGCTGGTGTGAATACCTTTCAAGCTAGAATCTTTTTCCTGAACAGTTGGACAAGTTTTATCTCCTTAATGTTCTCCTAAAACTTCTCTCTCTCTTTTTAAACAGGCACTTGTGGAAGGCTTCAGGACAAAATGTTTCATTTAAGGACTTGTGCTGCTAAGTTGAGGCCATTGACGGCCTCCCAGACTGTTAAGACATTGTCACAAAACAAACCAGCAGCAATTAGGACGTTTCAACAGATTCGGTGCTATTCCGCACCTGTAGCTGCTGAACCATTTCTTAGTGGGACTAGTTCGAACTATGTGGAGGAAATGTACTGTGCCTGGTTGGAGAATCCCAAAAGTGTACATAAGGTAAGGCTCACAGAGAGTTCCTGTGCTGTGTGTGTTGGTTAGGTGCTCCCTGACTGCCAGGTAAGTAAGTGTACCTAGGAGAGTCGGTGAGCAGACAGGCAACTGGACCCCAACACCACCTACCATGTCAGCTGCATCAGACTCAGTGTGGCCTCACTGGAGAACACAGCCTTCTTGAATGATTTCCAGCAATAAACTCAACACTCTGAGCACACAAGGAAGCATGTATAGCCCTTCAAGGATATGAGGAAATACAAGTGTGGTCCTGCGAACATTGAGGAAGCACAAGACTGGTGCTCCAGGATTTCCCCAAAGCTTGCTTTAGGATGAAGCCTCTGAAGAAAGTCTGTGAGAAAGAACGGGACCTCGAGATGCTCTTTGTCCTTGCTACGCTGAGAGAACACATGTATTTGTGACATTATAAATTCAGTACATGTAATTTCTATATAAACTGGTTTAGATCCTTGTTTCTCTTTTTCTCCTGTTTTTGATTTTTCTGTATTATCTACATGGGCACTTTCTTCTTAGACCCTTTTCTTTTCTGCACTGTTTTCCTGAACCCTTTCTGAGGGCAATTTGTTGAGACAATGTGAGATGTGAATCCCCAAACTATCACAATATATCCACTTGCCCTGGGCTAGCCCAGGCATCTTAGTAGTGTCAGAATTGGTTTGGTCTGTTTGTGGCCAATGACTGCTTATAGGGTTTTTTGTTTTGGTTTGGTTTTTGGCAACAAGGTTTCTTTGTGTAACAGCCTTAGCTACCCTAGAACTCACTTTGTAGACCAGGATGACCTTGAACTCAGAGATCCTCCTGCCTCTGCCTCGGAGTGCTGGGATTAAATGTGTGTGCTGCCACTGCCCGGCTTGTTTGTAAGTTCTGTGGTCATTTCTTAGCTTTTGGATAAGGAACATGGAGTGGTTGCAGTGTGGTGTGATGTAAGAGTTTATATTCCACAGCTCCTCATCTGTAAGTTTTTGGAGAGAAAAGAAGAAAATGGCAAAGGCATGATGATTATCATCTTCATGGAGGCCATGCTCAGCCAAGATGTTTACCTTTCCTGTGAATTGGGCCTGTTTGACCTATTGAATCACAGAGTCATCTCAACAGAAGGCATCCTGTGCCTGTTATCCATTGACCTGTGACTAAGTTTTTTATTTGTTTCAACTTCATCAGGTCTTTTTTTTTTTTTGAGACCCTGGATGAATGTCATGAACAATTCAAAGAACAAACAGCCCCACCCATGGCACCCATATACCTGCTCTTATATACCTCATCCTCACTCCTCTTTCATTTTCTATATGTTGATAGTGGTGGTTCCTCGGTGGGCCTGAATCAGCAGACTCATTTACCTGGGCCCTTCCCAAACCTGCTGCTTCTGATTCTGGCCACCTGTGTTCTTGAACACCTTATAGACGACTCTCATGTACATGAGGCATTTGAGCATACGAATATAACCTTCTTTAAGGAGAAAAGTGATGTTGAAGATGCTGGCAGCTTTCTGGTGGCAAACCTAATTGGGACCATATTCAAGGATGCTTCATTTACTGTATGAATTGGCAGAAGAAAAAAAAAAACTATTTTCTTGCTTTTTATGAAACTAGGTTTCTCTATGTATTAGTCCTAGCTGGCCTGAACTTGGCTTTTGTAGACCAAACTGGCCTCAAACTCACAGAGATCCTGCTGCTCTGCCTCCCAAATACTGGGATTAAAGGTGTGCGCTACCACTGCCTGGCGAGTCTGGGCTACTTTTACAGAGTTAGGCATTGCTCTGCCCCTTCTACCTGTAGAGAGAGTACCAGAAAGGCTGATTGAAGGGCTGGGCCCTCTAGAAATTCTGGCTGTAGTCTGATAGCACTTTGATCTCTCTCCTGCCTTGTTTACCGCTAGATAGTCCTCCTCAAATTGTATTATGCACACACATGGTACATACACATTTTTTGAGGGAGTTGACCCTTAATTTAAGTCTTTTGTTTTTTTCCCCCTCAGAGACAGGGCTTATATGTGTAGCCCTAACTGCCGTGGAACTAGCTCTTGTAGACTAGTCTGGCCTCAAACTCACAGAGATCCACCTGCCTCTGCCTCCCAAGTGCAGGGATTAAAGGCATGTGCCACCACCATCTGGTTTAAGTCAGATTTTTAAAGATACCTGTAATCCACAGAATGTTAGGATCTGTAACCTTAGAAATGCTTCAGTTTTATTAAAAATGCTTTGGGGACTTGGGAGATGGACCAGTGGATGATGTGGTTGATGTACAAGTATGAAGACATAAGTTCAGACCCCCCCCCCCAGCACCCATATGAAAAGCCAGATGTGGCAACGTGTACCTATAATCCAAGTGCTGGGGATGGGATCAGAGGATCCTGGGGGCTTGCCTGGTCAGCCAATTTAACTGCACTGGTAAATTCTATTTTAGAAATGTCTGAGGTCAGTTTCAGTAATGATTTTCAGAGAGGTCATGGGGGCTGCTGGTGAAAGATGTTCAATAGGACAAACTTAAATTTATTTGTTTATTTGCCTGTCTGTCTGTCTGTCAATTTTGAGGCAGAGTCTCTGTTATGTAACCAAGCTGGTCTTGCAATCATATAGCCCAGGCTGGCCTTCAACTCATGATCCACCTGCTTCTGCCTCAAAAGGAGGTGTTTTTTTCTTTTTTGGGGGGTGGGATTCAAGACAGGGTTTCTCTAGCTTTTTGGAACCTGGCCTCAAACTCACTCTGTAGAGCAGGCTGGCCTCGAGCTCACAGAGATTCATCTGCCTCTGCCTCTGCCTCCCAAGTGCTGGGATTAAAGGTGTGCACCACCACCACCCAGCATAAGGAGGTGTTTTCATGACCACACTGAATACAGTTAACAGTGTAATTCTCTAATAGAATTACATCTTTGATTTGTATTTAAATCTTTGCAAATATCATAAAATTGCCCTTCTAAATTATGAGTGCGCGTGCGTGCGTGCGTGCGTGCGTGCGTGCGTGTGTGTGTGTGTGTGTGTGTGTGTATGTATCAATGTATGTGGGGAGGTTAGTGGTGTCAGATCCCCTGGACTTGTAGTTACAGATAACTATAAGCAGCCTGACATAGATTTTGGGCACTTAATTGGGGGTATTTTTGTTTGTTTGTTTGTTTTTTCTGAGACAGAATTTCTCTACTTAGTCCTAACTGTCATGGAACTCGCTCTGTAGAGTTCTGTAGTCTGGCCTCGAACTCACAGAGATCTGCTTGCCTCTGCTCCCAAGTGCTGGGTTTAAAGACGTGCCACCACTGTCCAGCACTAAATTGTGATCTGTTAGAAGAGTAGCAAGTGCTCATAACCACTGAGCCATCTCTCCAGCCTTTTGTGTTTTGCTTTGTAGTTAAATATGCATATGCATAAACATATTTTTACTTGTATGCTGCTCAGAATCCAATCAGGGTACTACTTCTGGGGGCTTTTTTTTTTTTTTAATTTTTGCTTTTTAAGGAGTTGTGTTTTGTTGTATTGTGTCGCTTAGACCCTGGCCCAGGTCCCTGAATTCCTGTGCTCAAGCAGTCCTCCTGCTGTAGCCTCTCAAGTATTAGGGTCTGTGGGTGCGGGCTGCCATGCCTTGCTTTTACCACCCCATTCCCCCTTTTTGTGATGCTTGGGATTAAACCCATGGCTTTATATGAGGCAGTGATTTGGGCACTGAGCTATGTCTTTGTCTGATGTTATTTATTTGGTTGAATCTTGGTCTCACATTGTAGCCCAGACTGACTGGAACTCATTGTGTAGCACAGGCTAGTTTGGAAGGTATGGTGATTCTGTTATCTCAGTCTCCCAGGTATTGGGATTACAGACATGAGCCATCGTGTATGACCACATTTAAAACAAGACAGCCATGATGGCACACGCCTTTAATTTAAGACAGCCAGATCTCTGTGACTTTTAGGCCAGTCTGATTCAAAACAAGTTCCAAGAAAGCTAGAGCTACACCAAGAAATCCTATCTTGAAAAAGAAAACAATAACCACAGAAGCAACTTTTTAAAAAGATGGCTGGGTTTTAGTTTAGTAGTACTGTATTTGCCCAACATATATGAGGCCCCTGGTTCAATCCCCAGTATTTCATAGAAAAAAGAATATATAATTGTGTGGCAAAAATATTGCCACAGGATAGAGCTCCTATGTCCTTTCTTCCAGTGTTGCTCCACAGTGTTCTGTTTTCTTACTTGATCTGCCTCTGCACCAGGTCTACTATCCTTTTGTTCTAAGTTTGGTCTTCTCTGAGACTTTATCTGTTATAGATATTTCTCATTGAATGCTTTTAAGAACCTTTGGTGGTAGCTTGTTACTTTTTTTTTTTTTTTGATATCATAATTTGTTGGGGATACTTAGAATGGTGACATCTATTTTTGTGGGGGTGGTTTGTTTTGTTTTCAAGACAGGGTTTCTTTGTGCAACAGCCTTGGCTGGCCTCGAACTCCTGGACGCTGGGAGTAAGGTATTGCCCAGCCATTTTTTCTGTTTTAAAAACAGTCAAAACTAGGGTTGGAGAGATGGCTCAGTGGTTAAGAGCATTGCCCACTTTTCGGAGGTCCTAAGTTCAATTCCCAGCACCCACATGGTGGCCCACAACCATCTATAATAGGACCTGATGTCCTCTTCTGGCATGCAGGTATATATGCACTCATACATAAAATATAAATAAAATTACAAAAAAACAGTCAAAACTAGCCAAACATGTTGGCACATATGTATGATCTCAATAGCCTTTGTTAATGTTTAAAAGCAGCAGGTAGTTGAAAACTGCTAAGCCCCTGTCAATCTTGAAACTGGTCTTGATTTACTCAGTAGAGACAGTACCTAAGCTCCAGGTATAGTATGGCATCTAGTTCTTCCTGATGCAACTACCTGGTTTGGGCCTGACTGAGATAAGTCTAGTTTGGTTCTGAAGGACCAGCTCCTTTTACCCCTTCTTCCCCGTGTTGCTCCAGCACCTGTCTTGAAGGTGCTGCTCATTGGTCCTGCTTGTTTTCTGCCTGT